GGGTCAGGGGGAGGAAGGGCACGTGCGGGGGAGCGGCGAAACATGGGCGAGGTCGTCGTAAATGAAACAGCTGCCCATTGCCCAGGGTGCATACCCAGTGGTGCGTACGAACAGGAAACATGACAAAAGCCATAAAATGAATTATAAAAATACAATTTTGAGCATAGGAATCGTTCATAGTAGTGCACGACCGTATAAAAGTAAATTGTTCTTCCCCATAACTTGACCTCCGAATCCTCTACTGTCTTCAGTGTAAGCAGGGACTACATTGTTTACCCAGCCTCTCCCAGAGAATAGCGGTTCCACTCCAACAATAATTCATGACTGAATCGGAACTTTCTCACAAAGAGCACAGACACTTGCATCAGAGCACCATGCCACGTATAGCGTGTTTATCACAGAGCCATTCCACCAATGACGTCACAGAGCAGGGCTTCCATCAGCCCGACCTGCGGTGCCTCGGGATGATAGGGGAAAGTGGGGTAAGACGGGCACCTTAACTTTGGAGCCATTTTTCGGCCGGTTAGAAACATCATAGAAACGGGAAACTGGGTGAAAACCTTTTTCAGACATTTTACTTTCATTTGCCAGAAGATGAGACTTAGACCTGATTCAACAAATAAACTGCAGCTATTTTTGCAAAACCTTGCAAAAACCCGTCTTACCCCACCCCATGGGGTAAGACGGTCACATGGGTAGGGCAAGACGGCCAGCTTCTTTCACCGATCAGCGCAGCTCGCAACAAATGCCCGAGATTAGCCGCATTTATACAGTCGCTCGTTGGTCTCAAGTGCTTCGGAAATGGCAGTATACGAGATTCGTGCAGAAGGCGTATGCTCCTATATAGGCCCTAGTTCAGAAGCCATGTAGAACCGTTTTTCACATTCATTATTCGAGAATAAACTGTGCCGAAGGAATATTGCTAACATGTCTGTGAGTATCGGAATCGAACATATTCTTATTAGAAATGCTTCTTTTTTCCTACAGCAACAAAAATATTTTCACCATTACAGACCCATTGGGTTCATAGTTGCCCGTCTTACCCCAAACTCAATGTCAGAAGTTCAGCACGATTTTTCGCTGTGGACAATTTGATGCAGACAAAGCAAATCCGCCGTAAATGAACACTGTTGGCATATGAGTGTACCACAAGTGATTGCGAGTTTTTAACTCTATAGTGCTGTACACAAAAGCTTGCACAATACATTATGGATGTTTTCAATGAAATGAGTGTTTTAAAGAAATCAAAATAAAAGATTATCGACTGAACACAAATTCACCAGACTTGAATGGTGGTGTGTAGTGGGAAAGGCAATTCTGGTCCTAACTTTTCTTGCTCGTAGCGCTATTGGTTTGGTCTGCAGAAGGGGTGCCCGTCTTACCTACCCTGACCGTCTTACCCCACTTTCCCCTACATGGTGGCTGTCAAACACATGTGCCACCTTCTGGTAACCAGGACCCGTCTCCATACGGAAGGAACATTAATTTAGGCAAAGATGGTGTGCCGCGTTGTACGCGACTCGTTGTTTTGAGGATTTGATGATGTGGTAGGCCTACTGTGTCTTGCGAGTTGCGAGTTGCGACTGCCTGTTTCACAAATAATAAATGAGTTGTGTATAATACGACTTCCTGTTACAATGAATAAGTCACAGTAACAGAAGCGTTTCATTGACAATCGAAATGGTCCAGGATTTGAAGCACTTCCTACTCCGATCCACCATGAAAATGAATGCATGCATGCATGAATGAATGAATGAATGAATGAATGAATGAATGAATGAATGAATAAGAATGTGCAGAGTCAAATAAAAGGAGCTGATTATAATTCAACTCATTTATGGTTCCGGTTTGAGTTGCTGAAGCCTCTCGATTCGCAGAGCTGCGTGCGAGCCAATTATTTTGCAAGCAGAAGCTCATCTTTCCACTTTACAACGAATGACGCCGATCATCGCAACTTACAAACGGTAAAACCGGCGCATCTTCGAAATGACGCGCATTGGTCGAACACTACGCGCAGCGACCAATCAGAGCCCAGGATGCTGCAGTGTGACGTCAGCGGAAGGCGTGCTGACGTCAGCGCATGAGTGGCCGCCGCCATTGTTGGAAGACTGGGCGGCCGGCTGATGTTGGAACAATGACGTCACGCGAGTACCTCGGAATGACCGGCGACCTGGGGACTGGGGTGGCGAGGTGGGCTTCGAGACACGAATGGACTGGACTGCACTGAACTGCACTGATGGATGGACACTGGACCGTGGCGATGATTCCGACAACTGTTTCAATCCAGTTCTTCGCGCAGAAATCAGACATTGCAATGAGGCCCTGGCCGAACTATTTCTTGTACGAAATTTGCGCGTACCGTTGAGCTTTTTTTGGAGTAAGGTAAGTGCACATGAGTGATTGATGCATTTTAATTCACATGGGTACCAGAACTTAGTTAGACTGCCTACCTATTGGCATTCAGTGAAGATATGGTCGGCCCGTCGCAGCTGCCACTTATCGTGTGTTTATCGTGTTTATTTGATGTTTATCGGGACCATGATTTCTCGAGTGTCTCCTAGCCTGACAACGGCTCCATTATGAGACACTAACACTAGATTAGCTGCGCTAACCGACATTAAAAGTCGGCCACTACGGCCAATCAATCTGGGTAAGCCCGCATCCGAGTGGAGGGGTCGTTATAAAACATTGAAACGCTTAGTTCTCCCACTACTCATTGGACCCACCGGCAGCTGAAACTGTTATCTCAATTTAGCTGACCGTCTTCCGAAGTGACCCAAACCAAAACCAGCTGTACACCGACCAAACTGTTTGGAGAATGTCTTTATTATTCCGGGAAACTTTCTACAAATGGACATCCGTTCAACGTATTGCAATGGTCATTCGCGCGGCGAAATTACCGTCGGTAATTAGCTGATTCGTTTACGTAACGTTCTATTTATAGAAACTGACAGTACTCGCGTCTGACATCATTGCCCAGAAAGGGAATCATTTCCGGACACCTGTGCCCACCATTCGCGGTACGCCGCCCACACCAGGCAGGCAACGATAAGGGGCAAGGGACTTCCACGAGGATCAACACTGCCTTAGTCAATATCTGACATGTTCCAATGTCAACAGCTGAGGTCTAGTTTGAATCCCCGCCCATATTACCGGCCCTCTGAGAGGTGGCAAGACGTTCTCAGGCGAAACAAACTAGCAGAGGCCCCACCTCAGTTTGCTTTCACCCACGCATTTCAGTGTCCTCAAATGAACCAACACCGTCCTTGATGACGCCACCCTGTCCTCGATGACGTCACACCCTGTCACCGATGACGTCACCGCCGCCGTCCGCTGACTCAGGGGTCGGCGCCGGGTAACGGGCCGCAGTCGCGTCTCGCGGAAAGTCGGTCCATCCGGTCCGGCGGCCGGTGTGCAGACCGGAAATATCCCCCCCGGATGTCCCCCCCCCCCCGAGGTGACCCGTTGTCAGGATGTGGTTTACGGATGTGGTATAAGAGATAAGGCCAGTTCACACATGGTTCGGTTCAGGTGGCTGCCTAACTATAGGTGCTGCATTTTTTTCCCCAATTTACTTTTGACAAGAAAAATGAGGGTGACGAGGGGTGGGGTCTCATCCGTCAGTGGGCGTTCCATAATGCCTTCGCGTCTTCTTCAAAGATATTACAAGCTAAAAGGGTTGGAAATCGTATTTAAGTAGGCATCATAGCGATGCGTAAGCATAACAAATTTAACTTATGGGGGTCCGATGGACCCCTCCCTCGGTTTTTCGCGAATGTCTCGCGTGAAAAGCGTCGGCTTGCGACACAACATTCAGTGCTCTCTTTCATCTACTCTGAAAATCGAATTACCCTGGCCCAAATGCCCGGTGACCTAAGACCAGTTTATCGAGACTGTCAGGCCAGAATTGCGATTCGGCGTATGTCAGCGAACTTTATCGGTGCGGTTCCAGACTTTGGCGATAAAAATCGGTCACTTTAACAAGTCCACCACGTTCATAATAGGAACTAAGACTCCTTCCACTGTGTATTCGTTATAGAGCCGTTTGCTCGACTCAGTTAAGACCATCACTTCCCAAATCCAGCACAGCGAGCTTGAACCGAACGCAAGGACATCGCTATAGAAGGTGCTTTTTCCTAAAACATCCCACCTAATGCCCGAGACCTGTTCCTAATCTCCTTCCAGAAGTCAGTGCCATTAAAAATGACCGCATCCTTCCCCGAACCACTCTGGAGCAATTCATCCCCATTTAGCGCGCGTTGGACTTGCCGACCGTTGTCCAAATGGCGAATTATCCGGCGAATTTTTCACGTCGAAAGAGCTGTCTCCAGGTCTGAACGCTGCGCCGATTTCGGAGCGGGAAGGGCCAGCGGCTTGGTCACCTTTCTGCTCTATTTCTGTCCCGTTCAATTCAATATACCCTGGTCCGCCCAGCCTGTCTATTTTGGTTTGCTCGCGTTTCGCTGGCTGGGCGCTGGGCGCTATTGACCTATTGACGCTATTGACTTGACCTGACCGACCCGCGGGGTCTCAGCTGGTTTGTTTCTCACAGCACGTGCAGTTGTGTGCCGCAGTGTCTCCGATTCCGGCCGGACCGTGTATTTTCAGCCACCGACTACGAAAGCACTGGCCGACACTTTTCACTGTACCAGGAGGAAAACATGTCCGCGCAGGCCTTGTAAGGTACGTCAAAGCAGCTCCTCTGGACAACTCGGGGGATCCTCCGCCGCCGGCCGGCCGCGGATTATCGTGTAAGCCCTTGCAGCCGTTTTTATTTTCGGTTACAGTGGGTCCACTTGGTCGCCATGCTCACAATAATCGTGTTTCGCCTGGATAAAGGTCCCATTGAAGCCACGGTAAACAGTGAAAAACGGCACGAAACGCGGTTCGCGGCTCTGCAAAACAATTCAGCACGCAGATTTAGCTGGTTTTGCGATGGCCACCGGACATATGTGTGGCTATGATGTAATGAGGTTGATATGCACTCCAGTACAACCCAAGCAGGTGGCATACATATAAGGTAAATTGCAACGTTCTTATCACAAGATATCATACTCACTAGAAGGCGTATAAAGGCTATTCGATTCTCCAATTCTACCGACCCCTGATATCATTCAAGTACGTGGAACTCACAATTCGCGATACAAAGCGGCGACCCATTTCTCATCCCTATCACTAGCGAATCGGCGAGAGGAAAACCGGCGAGGAAAAGCACCGCCTATCGCCGGCCACTCGGTCGCTGGAACGACTGGCCATGGCGCAGAGTCCCGGCTCACTGGAATCACTACACGGCCGGGGCAGGGCGAACATCTGTCCGCCCGAGTTCGGACAGCGCGCGCAGATGTGGATTAGGGTGAGAGGGAACGACCGTTTGTCATTGGAGATGGGTGGAGGGACGCCGATTTGTTGGCGGTCTTGGAGAAATGGGGCAGCAGTGCTATCCGTCAGGGAAGTGGGCAGCGATGCCACCCAAACACTTGTTGCACGGGTAGAAAAATGTCGACTGATGGAATCACCGATGGTTGAACTGATTTCCCAGCGAAGGAAAACGCTCGATCTTCATCAGAACTTCGACGAGGAATCAGCAACAGCAGACCTCAACGCAGCCTGCCGAACAGAGCAAGATGGCGTCAGCAGCCTCCACAATACAACACCTCACTTACAACTATCACTCAAAGGGAGAAGTTACGAACACTTAGATCTACTACATATGTCCAGAGCTGCAAACAGAAAGCATACGTCCCGGCGACAGCGGTTCGAGCACTCAGAGTTACACCGCACCGCAAAATATCCTGGAAATCCCTGCCCGGCAACAGGCCGCACAGCCTCACGGGCCTAAAGCCGCTGCGGTACGACGTCAAAACGTAGCAGTCAGCGACAGAATCGTCAAGATGCGCTGCCGGGAAGTCCTGAAGGCTGAAAATGTCACGTGGCATAATCACAACTCGAAACAACGCTAACTTTGCTGACGTGGTCTATCAACTTGCTATCAACTAACGAACTGCTGAAGGTCAAGGAACACAACAACAACAAACAACAACAAAGTCGGCGGCTGAAAGATCAAAGAGTCAAAACACACGACAAAGGAGTGCGACATTTCGTGGCGCATTGCAAGTGCAACATGCACACTCAATGCGATTGTTTTCGTGGAATGTGCATGAAGTTCATTATCTAACGGTCCGCCCTATCATGGTAATGGCCCGATAAGGTCCAGTGTCTGAGCCCAGGACTGAGGTTGCAGGACAAAGTGCCGAAATTTGAGCTCTGAATAGCTACAGACAACACGACAGGTGCTATCACCAGTGTAATGGTTCCCCTGCAATTGGTTTATGGGCTGTATGCTAGGAAAGCCACCAGTTAGTAGCTAAGTAGTGAGACAGCAGCTTTAGTTTGTAAATCATTTGGTTAGGTTGGGTTAGGTTTTCCAAAGACTTTTTAGTGAAGGTTTGGTTTTCCCTTCACGTGTGGCAATGCAAACATATCTGTTTTTCCCTTCACACTTGATAATCAGATGGGAAAGTTGGCCGAGGACCTCCAAACCTTGGAATACCCCACCGTCATTTTGATGACTTATGTAATCGGAACTTCTACCCCCAAGAAGCTAGATCCTACGCCATCATTACATACGAGTAATAGCGGATGCGTCAAAATCACCCATCGTTTTGTTCTTATTCATCAATTATCCCGACCGATTAATGCGAAATCCACACTTTATTAATTGCATTTAACGTTTCGGAAACCCCTATGTTTCGCCAGGTGGTACGAAAAACAGCCAACATCAGACCGACCCGCTCGCTTAGTTATCCTGTCACCAAACGGACTTTGCAAAGCCAGCCACACACACCTGCTTGTCAAGCTGCGACGGAACGGCATCAATCGAGCGCTGGAGTGACTCAGGATAGATTGAGTGAAGTAGCGACTGCTGCTAGCCGGACATCGGTCCGACTCTCGCCAATGATACTCGCTATCAGAGAACGGTGACGTCAGCGCGCGGCGACAGGTGACGTCACACACAACGTGCCGTTGTGGTGACATCACCTCTGGGCGACTGATCGGTTTCCCATAAAACCAAACGCGCGGTGGCTGCGGCCGCGGCCGTGACAAAGGTTTGATCAGACGTCCCTGGTCGGTCGGTCGGGCGGTCGGAGGTCGGCTTGCGGTCGGTCGGTCGGTCGGTCGGTTGAGCGGTCGGAGGCCGGTCTGCGGTCGAAACCGTCACCACCGTCGGTGAAATCACACAGGGCGGATGAGATCCCGTTAGTGGGGGGTTAGTCCGCGAGCGGTCGCGGGGCAAGTCGATAGCACACAGTCCAATCCCGGGCCAAACCGGCAGACAGGTTTGTTTAATACATTACTTCGCTAGCCATGACTTGCATTGCAATGCAGGCATCGCGCGAAAATGTACCATTTTGGCAGCTGGCATTTGGATTAAGGCAGTGCGAGTGGGGACTGACGTCAATTCAGATGGACTGGAATTAATTCTAGGATAGACGACTGGTGATTGAATGTATTCCGTGGATTCGCAGTGCATTCGGTGGGCTCAGAGCCACTGAACGCCGGGTCATGTTGAAAACAGGGGGATCTGTGTCGTTCATGGAACATGGAAACAGTCACTAGTTCAGTTCTCACAGTTCCTGATTGGTTGCACAATTGTTAAGGCCAACTGTCAGCTATTCTTAACATGAGACAGGAACATTCGGATTGGAAGGTAACCATTGAAATGAGACCCAATTCCCGGACGGAAACGAATACAGAAGGAATTCGTACCTGATAAGTTTTTTTAGTCTGTAAAAGATTGTTAAGTGTCTGCACTGTAAGGAAGCACGGAAATAACTCTGCGCACACAATACTTCTGCGAATCCTCCCAGCCGAATGTAAGGCCTCATCATCGTCCAAAACCACCATACCAAGACATTTTAATGAAATCCCTCGTGGCTCGCCCATCGAGATGCCATCAATCACCGACTCTATGACGGCTGCCACCCACCCACCGCAGGACCGGCTCCCAGTTCTGTGGCACGTCCTTCCCCCAGTTGCGTCACCTCCGCTGGACCGAATGTATGACGTCACACCCGACTGGCTGCCCTCCCGTGGCGCGCCGATTGGTTCCCCGAACCCAGCAATGACCCCGCTGTGTAAGTGCTGCGGCGGGGCCGCCCGTCCGTCCCACTGTCTGTCTGTCTGTCTGTCTGTCTGTCTGTCTGTCTGTCTGTCTGTCTGTCTGTCTGTCTGTCTGTCTGTCTGTCTGTCTGTCTGTCTGTCTGTCTGTCTGGGGGCTAGTCGATATGTCTGTGTGTCTGTCTGTCTGTGTTTGTCAGTGGGGGAAACTGTGGTCAAATCTTCTATTTTTGGAAGCCTTCCATTTTTGGAAGGACCTTCCATAAATGGGTATGCATTTTCCAAAAATGGAAGGCTTCCAAAATTGGAAGGTCTAATCTCAGTGTTCCCAACTGTGATTCACATTCTTTGATTTAAGTTACGGCCTTTTTAAATGTGTAACATTAATAGTTGATTTTGCCATTTATGATCATTGATATAAGGAGAAGCAGCAGTGCTAGTGTTGGTAATACAGGCATGCTATGTCAATGTACATAGTGATATAATAGCATGGTGTCCTGGCGCACTGCTCTCTTTTTCTACTTCTAGAGGACACATAGAAATTCAGAAGAGAAAACAGCTGGTCAATAACCAACCAGGAGGAACACAGCTATAGCCCTGACAAAAAAATGGTTTAAATTAAACTTACTATTCCTCATATAAATTGAAGATTCATGCTCCTTCGATAGAAATTAGAAAGTAACACGAAAAACGGCGCAGCAACGCCTATTTAATTCGTCCCATATTCCGGAAAAAAAAAAAAAACATTGAAAAATGACGAGACCTCCACCCAAATGTTTGGCAAAAGCCTTAAAAATTGAAATCAACCACACAATATGCTAATAAATGCAGAAAACGGCAACAAATACAAGTTTTACTCGCCACTACACTCCCGAAACCGCCGCACTCTGTCCAGACAATTCCGCACTGTAAATAAAGTCGGCGGTATCGAACAAGCATGGCCCGTCACTAAAGTACTTTTAAGGATATTTACTTTTCGTTTTTGATGCTTTTTGCTTACAAAATGTTTGATAAAGTCTTATAAAACCATCGTTTGTCGGTAAATTTTTGTCAATTTTCCACGACTCATTACTTTGAAAAATTACCTAAAATACATCCACGCTAGGATTTAGACATCCACGCTAGATTATGGACACTTCACTATGGCGAATAGAAAGCGACCAGGGGCGATAGTCGCATTTGCCTCATGTTCGGCGGAAATCGGTAAGTTCCAACATATGCGCAACATTTTCTATATTTGGGTACGATGACGTCGTCAGCGTACCCATTTTTGGAAGGTGCGTACCCATATATAGAAAATCCTTCCAAAAATGGAAGGCTTTCTAAAAATGGAAGATTTGACCACAGTTTCCCCGACTGCTGTCAGTAAGTCTACTCTCGTTTGATATGGCCTAGTGAGGTCAGGCCAGGTCATAAGATGAGGTAAAATAAGGCGAGGTCAGGTAAGATCAAGTGAGGTTTGATCAATTCTAGTGTCCTTATATGATATTAGACAAAGTCAATTATCAGCATAACTTGAGGCTTGCCGACATGTCTACTGTCTGTCCGTCCATCCATCCATCCATCCGTCCGTCCGTCCATCCATCCGTCCGTCCGTCCATCCATCCGTCCATCCATCCATCCATCCATCCGTCCGTCCGTCCATCCATCCGTCCGTCCGTCCATCCATCCGTCCATCCATCCATCCATCCGTCCGTCCGTCCGTCCATCCGTCCGTCCGTCCATTCCCTGCTCGCTAGTTGAACCGGACATACCCGTCGCTGCCCATTCCCTGCTAATAGCCTGCACACTGCCGACACTAAAACACGAATAATCATACGGCGGGCGGTGCGGCCCAGGGGTCACGAGTGGGCCGGGGGGGGGGGGGGCTGTTCTCGGTACCGAACCGCCCCCCCCCCAGTGCGTGCAGTCGAGTCGTTGGAGCGGAACGGAATGATCAGTGGGGCCGCCCGCCAGACGGAGGGTCATTAGAGAGGGTCCCTGCAGACAGCGGGGGGGGGGGGCGGTGTCAATGGGAGGGGGTGGCGACTCGGGGCTGGGGTGGCAACAGCTGAAACTAAAATAAAAGGCTTCGGACTGGAGGGTGACTGGATCCCTTTAATTATTTCACTTGTCTTGAATCATATAACTGCAATGAAAACCGTAAGCCACATGCTAATAATTATATTCAAAATAGGGCTAAGAAAATAAGACAACTGTTTAATTCGTGCATAGCACATCGTCAATCAAATGAAGCTGAATGCGTTCCAGGTTGTGATTGGGTAAAGACAATGTGATGGAGCGGAAATCCGGTTGCGTTTTGGTTGTATTGCATGGCTCATATTTAATCGAGCAGATAGATGTAAGATAACTTGTGTGGCATCTTGAGGAAGGACCGAAGTCGGAACATGCCCCCAATGGAAACAAGTAGGTATGGAAACCAGGCAACACCTGTGGTAACTTGTAACGCCATGCCGGCCAGGGTGTGAAATAAAATACCGGCGCAGATG